GCGCTGGCACAGAGCAACGGAAACGAGCACGGGAGAGGGTGAGGAACAAAGGGGCTATGATGAGAAGGAGGAGACGGAGGAGGGCGGAAGGGGGGAGAGAGAGAGAGAGAGAGAGAAACAACACAAAGTTTGGTGCGCTCGCGCCTCATCTGGCATTCGATCCTCCCTCCCATCCCTTCCCGTGGCGCTGATGTGCCAGCATGCGCGGACGCGTGTCATAGCCAACTTGCGTGCACAGGCGGAGGAGGTGGAGGGTGAGCGGGAGGATGAGCGAGAGCAACAGGATGAGGACGAACAGCAGCAGCAGGAACCACCGCGGAAGGATAGGGAGGACAAGGAGGACCAGGGGAAGGCGGATGAGGGAAACTGAGGGGGTCGACAACGACGAAGGAGTATTCGGATTCAGAAAAGTGACCCGCGCTGGGACGAGACCAGCAGCAGCAGCAGCAGCAGCAGCAGCAGCAGCAGCAGCAGCAGCAGCAGCAGCAGCAGCTGCAGCAGGATTCGGCGTGGGAAGAGCGGGAGGAACAGCAGGACCAGGGGAAGGCGGAGGAGGGGACGGGAGGAGGGGGGGCACAATGAAGTGATATTCGGATTCAGAAACGTGTCCCGCGCTTGGGCGAGAGTGCTATCCTGAACGATGGGAGCAACGCGCCGATCCGAAAAGGAGGTCCACGCTGCGGCAGGGAGACCACTATGACACGCCGAAGATAAGCGGATTGAGACAACAACCAACTTTTGAAATCTTGTGAAACGCAGCGTGCGGAGGGGGCAGGAGATCTTCCGCACAACTGCAGGGGAGGAGGGAAGTAGTATTCGTATTGTTGAATTGTAGAGGGGGTGATGGTGAGGGAAGGTTTTCAATGACTCTTGGCTGCGCTCTGGGGGCCCTGACTGGCTGTCTGAAGGCTCTCAAAGTGGGTTGCTGCTTGCTTTTTTGGGGCCTCTTGGGGGCACCTTCGTCGGGCTCTCCTGGGCCGTCTCGTGCTCCTCCAGGGGCCTCCGTGGCTGTCTTGGCGCCACCTGGGTGCCGTCTCTAAGCCATCTTGGAGGCCTCTGGGGAGCCCCATCCAGAGGCTCTCATGTGATGCGGTGTGGTCGCGGGAGTGGGTCGCTGGCGCGGTTCATGGGCGCTGCTTGTTGGCGCGGGTGCGCGTGCCGCGGGCGCGGTCGGCGCTGTGGGTCGCAGGCAGGCTGCGGTCGGGTGGGTCCTCCAGTACGCAACGGCAGGCGGGTCGCGGGGCCACGGCGATCAAGACTAGCGGCAACAGCAACAATCCCCACAACGGTACGGCATGTACAGCATCTCAGCCTCGTCCCAAGGGGGCGTTTGGCAGTGACCCTGCGTAGTTATGGGGTATGGTACGATCTAGTTCTGCAGGGTCGAGTGCGAGATCGGATACGCACGATGCGTGCCCTTGCCACTCCGTATCCGTGCTGGCTCGAGCAGTGCTGAAGTCTCTCAGGCTTGAGCGCGCCGATTCGAGCCGTGATGCCCGTCGGATGGCGCCATCGGCCAGGGCGCCTTTCCCCTCCGCGCCGCTCCGGTGGCTGGATGTGCCAGGGCGGGGGGCGGCGCTTGCCGCACTGAGCGCCCTCACGGCCAATTTGCCCTCGCTGCTGCTCCCCAGGTCGCGGGCGGCCTGGGGCTGGACCGGCTCCACCATCGGGTGCGACTTTGAGAGCAGCGTGGAGTGCGACAATGGCGGCTCCTCTCTCCTCCAGGGCGAGACCTGCACGCCCGTGTGTGCGGCAGGCGCGCCGGCCGGGGCGTCCGAGCTTTCGTGCCCGGGCTCTGGCTGCGCGGATGTCGCATGGGGGGGCCCCTGCACATCCTCTGGGGACAGCATCTGGTGGAGCACGTGCGGCTGGGGGGGCACCTGCGACGGCACCGTGACGCTCACAGACGTCACGTGCTCACCCACACCCGCGCCCACTGCTGCACCCACGCTCGCGCCTACGCCCAAGCCCACGCGCGCGCCAACTCCCACGCCCACGCCTGCGCCCACGCCCGCACCCACGCCCGCGCCCACACCCACACCCACGCCCGAGCCCACCCCCGCGCCCACTGCCACCCCCACGCCTGCACCCACGGACACGCCTGCGCCCACGCCCATACCCACGCCCGCACCCACGCCCTCGCCCACTCCCGCGCCCACGCCCGCGCCGACACCTGCGCCCACGAGTGCGACCGCGACTGCGACTGCGACTGGGACCCCGAGTGCAACTGCGACTACGGCGACCAGGACCGTGAGTGAGACTACACCAACCACTTCTTCCGAGACTGGCACGTCGACCACGACTAGGCACAGCACAACCGAGACCAGCACATCTGGACACAGCGTGACCGTCACGACTTCGGGAACGAGTATCACTGGCAGTAGCATGACGGACAGCACCAGCACGACCTCTTCCCCGCACAGCACAACTGCCTCAATAACGATCAGCACCGGCACGATCACCACGTTTATCACCGATACATTCACCGTCACGGTGACGACCGACAGCAACACCACTAGCACCACGGATACCACGACAATCACCACCATGGCACAGCTGCTGGAGCTCGTGGCGAAGGACGGAAGTACTTACGACTATTTCGGTACGGCGGTGGCCATGAGCTCGGACGGCGCCCAGGTTGTGGTGGGAGCCTACGGAGACGACGACCAGGGCTCCACCTCCGGCTCCGTCTACGTGTTCGATGGGGCCACCGGCGAGCAGCTGCTCAAACTGGTGGCGGTGGACGGGGCGGGCGACGACTATTTCGGCACGTCGGTGGCCATGAGTTCCGACGGGGCCCGCGTAGTGGTGGGGGCCTGTAGGGACAACGACAACGACCAGGATTCCCACTCCGGCTCGGTCTACGTGTTCGACGGAGCCACTGGGGCGCAGCTGCTCAAGCTTGGAGCGGTGGACGGGAACGGCTCAGACCAGTTCGGCTGCTCGGTGGCCGTGACCTCTGTGGGGGCCTGGGTAGTGGTGGGAGCCCATGGGGACGACGACCTTGGTCCCGGCTCTGGCTCTGCGTACGTGTTCGACGGAGCCTCTGGCGAGCAGCTGCTCAAGCTCGTGGCTGAGGATGGGGCTGGGTTCGACTGGTTCGGCTACTCGGTGGCCGTGAGCTCCGACGGGGCCCGGGTGGTGGTGGGGGCCGTGGCGAGGGGCTCCGCGTACGTGTTCGACGGGGCCGAGGGCGCTCAGCTGCTTAGGCTCGGGGCGGCGGACGCGGCGGCCGAGGACTGCTTTGGCACCTCGGTCGCCGTGAGCTCCGACGGGGCCTGGATAGTGGTGGGAGCCTATGGTCGAAGGAGAAAAATGACCATAACCAGTAACTTTTGGCGCCCCGCGCGGATGTCTCGGATCCGCGCCGGCCTCCCCCCCCGCGGCGCCTCCGGCGCCGCCTCTGGCGCGCTCCGCGCGCGGATCCGCGATTTCCGCGCAGAGCGCCAAAAGTGCATGCTCGCGGTGTTTTTTCTTCTTCTATATGGGGACGATGATCAGGGCCCGGGCTCTGGCTCCGCGTACGTGTTCGACGGGGTCTCTGGCGCGCAGCTGCTCAAGCTCCAGGCGGCGGACGGGGCGGCCGACGACTATTTCGGCACGTCGGTGGCCATGAGCTCCGCCGGGGCCCGGGTAGTGGTGGGAGCCCATGGAGACGACGACCAGGGTTCCAACTCCGGCTCCGTCTACGTGTTCGACGGGGCCACCGGCTCGCAGCTGCTCAAACTGGGGGACGAGAATGGGGCCGCCTCCCGCAGATTTGGCTGGTCCTTGGCCGTGGGCTCCGACGGGGCCGGGGTGGTGGTGGGGACCAACGTGGGCTCAGGGAGCACGTACGTCTTCCGCATCGGGACCATGGTGACAATCGACGTTAACTTGAGCACCGCGAGTACAACTGAGACGACCACCACCAACATAGCATCAGTCGACACCGACTCGAGAACCACGACCAGCGCCCAGGCGACCACAACGGACGCGGTGGCCACTGCCACGACCAGAGTGGCGACTTCCGACGCCAACACGAGCACCACGGCCACCACCGAGACAACCACCACCGCAGGTGCCACTTCCACTGGATACGGTGAGGCGCTGGAGACAACCACCGACCTGGCGCAGGAGACGACCATGGCCGATGGGGTCGTTCAGGCTCTGCCGCTGACGAACTCGTGGACACCCGAGTTCGCCCAGCTGTCGCGGACCGCGCCTGCCGTTGCGGTCGCCGCGGCGCTCCTTTCTCTCTAGATGGGAGGACTTGTGGAAGGGAAGGGGGATGCGAGAGGAGGGCGGCGGAGGGGCGCGTGCCCCTACTTCGGGCCAAGGAAGCCTCCGCCTCCCAGTTTTCCCTGCGAGGAGCTGTGCAAAGCCCGCAGACGGGCTGAGTGCTGTACGGATTGCGCACTTACCAGCCGGCCACAACACGAAGCGCGCGAGCCGTGCTGGCGGGTCGTGGGCGGACAAGGTCGCGGCGCCAGCGCGAAGCTCGAATCTCACGATCCTTACACGCTCGCACGCCCTGCTTTCCCGACGTGGAGCAATCCGCACCTCGTGGGTGTCTTGCGTGGTGGGTGGATCGGGGTCGCAGACCCGGGGGCCTCAGGCACTTGCAAACATCCGTCGAAGCGCCCCGTGGGAGAGATCCGTGGTGGCTCGGCGCTGCAACCTCCAGCCCCAGGAACGATTCGCGGGGGCCACCTTCCAAATCCTGGGCCGCGCGCGTCCAACCCCAGGGGACTGGTTGGCTTCGCTGCCGAGGGGCCCTCGTTGCCACATCTGGACGCGGCTCGAACAACCTGTCATAATGACATCCAGACGGGGCCCAGGCACGTTAATTCACTTGGATCCCAGGGGGAACATGATCACCGCACGCGTGTTCACAGAGGGGTGAGATCAGCAAGTCGTCAGAGGGTTCATGAGAGGAGACGAGGACCCCTAGTGCTACACGTGCGCCCTTCTGAGGCGCCTGGCCACTAGCTGGAGCTGGAACTGTTTTCCGCTTTCAGTTCTGCTCATCGCCGTTTTCCTCCCTCCTCTCTTCTTCCTCCGTTCTGCTCCTCTCCGCCTTCCGTCTTCCTTTTCGTCCGTTCCTCTATTCCCCTTACAGTTGCTCGCGAGACTCCTCGAGTCGCTCTTTCCGCGGTCCGGACTGAGTGTCAGACCGTCGATTCTTCCTGCGTGCCCCGTGCTTCTCTGGACGCTGCTGCGACTGAGGGCGGACACCGCGAAACGTCACCGTGGAGCGAGATGTCTTGCTGGTTCAGTCGGATCTTTGCTGTCCAGAGCGAGATGTGCAGCCGCGAGCCCCGACTTGGGCAACGACAGCCCTCACCCGGGATGCAGTTGCAGCCGCGCCAGATCTTATCTACCTATACGACCACCCTTCGTGTAGTAAGGAGTCTGTGGGGGGAGGAAAAACAACCAAACACTTCCCCTTTGTTGTGTTGGTGCCAGCGGCCAGGCACGAGGACGGACTGAGGAGGAGAGAAGGACACGGATTGGAGGCGTGGGGGAACCGGATGGAGAAGGTGAGGGACACCTCGGGCTTCTGCGTCCATGGCATTTCTAGGGAGAGGACGAGGGGGACACCTCGTCGATGGCTAGCAGTTTGTTCCTGGGGTTCCTCCCGCGTCCACCTTCGCGGGTGTCCCATCCCGAATCGATGCTTGACGGCCCTGGGCCCCCACACGGGCCCCCAGACGTAGAACTCGAGGAACACATCGTCCAGCAAGGACTGCTTGCTCGATCTTCCTCTCTTTCGGAGGACAGCCTCGTCGAGTCGATTTTCTGCGAAGCAACCCTCACCACAGCATAATCCATCAATCTAAGGGAAGCTGCATGTGCAAACCTGCGCGGAACACGTGTTGCCAATCCCGTCGCCGAGCCGATGCAGCTGTCCAGAGCGTCCTGGGACGCTCTCGAAGCGTTCTGGTGCGCTCTGGAACGGCCGCGGCGCCCGATGCATCTTCAAGAGCCGCTGGGTCTCAGAGGTCCCCGATTTTTGTCCCAGTCCGATTTGCTGTCCTGGGAGCGGGAGCGGGGAGCAGTCAGGCATTGAGAGAACGCCCGCCCAGACAAGTCGGCTGAGGAGATGTGCAAAGGTTTTTTTGACAACGGCATTTGAAGGAACCGGAGCAGTCCCCAGTCGGTTTCGCTAGTCGGCGTGCTTCTCAGCAGATGCATTCGCTTGTTTTTTGACGTCGATGAGCTACCCCGCCTGGGTCAACTCGGAATGCGGTGCCGTGCGCGCGTGGAGTGCCCCTGCCAGCTATCACGAAAGGGCGCTTTGCTGCAGGGCTTCAGTCCACCCCAGAGAGCGGAAGCGGGAGCGGGGAGCAGTCGGAGTACGTCTTGCAAGAGCCGTGGGGATCCACCGGGTGGGCCTCCAGCTGGACTATGCAACCTCGTGGGCAACGCTGAGTCCAGCGAAGCGACGCAGAGGAACGGGCTCGACTGCGCGGACATTCGCGCGTGAGCTGCCCGCTTCAGGCCGCGCGTGAGCGCCCTTCTTTTTCGAATGTAGCGTGCCGCGCTGGCGGCCCAACTGAGCTGCGGCGCAAGGCCGCTATGTCATCTCGCGCAGGACCCGCTTCTGCTTCTCGCTCACCTGGTGGGCCTCCAGCTGGACTTGGCCACTTCGTGGGCGAGGCTGGGGCCAGCTGGAAGGGTGAGAGCTTCGTAGGCCCTGGAAACGGCAGGGCAGTTTTTCCTTCGTTTCCCAATGACGTGTCTCCTGAACATGGAATCGGTTAAGAAACGGCAGCCAGAAACGACAGCAAAAACGGCTCCAGAAGTGGAGCTGGAGCTGCACACGGTAACACAACTTTTGCGACGGAACCGACACAGAAACGGCAAAACGGAACCGGCAAACCAACGGCCCCGTCGTTTCCACTGCCCACTAATTTTGAGGAAAATCCTGGTGGCCTCGCGCGACGCGTAATAGTGTAGTATTGTCTAGTCCACAAGTCAGCTCCGTAAGCTATGGGTCGACGCTCGCGCGGCGATGCTCCGGAGTCAGTCCGACGCAACTCCGAGGCCATTCCGACGCAGTCCGACGCGAACCCGACGTAAATCCGGCGTGGATCCGACGCACAGCGTGTCTCGAGTTGCCGCGCGAGGCCTCCGGGATCTTCCTCCTCACGCTGGGGGCGAGAGGAGGGGGCGGAGGAGGTGGGGGCGGAGGAGGAGGAGGAGGAGGAGGAGGAGGAGGAGGAGGAGGAGGAGGAGGAGGAGAGGAGGGGAGGAGGAGGGAGGAGGAGGAGGAGGAGGAGGAGGAGGAGGAGAGGAGGAGGGAGGGAGGAGGAGGAGGAGGAGAAGGAGGAATGGAGGAGCAGGAGGACGCAGGGGCGTGCCCGCTGCCCCCCGCAGGGCCAAGGAGGGCCGGGCCCGCTCGCCCGCTCGCCCGCTCGCCCGCCCGCCCCGCTGCTGCCGCGCGGGGCAGGCGCAGGCCGAGGCGGCCGGGGCGCTGGCGGCGCTGGCGACCATCGAGGATCGGCTACACGTAAGAGTGTAGGGGGCCACAGGCGAACCCTACCCCGACCCCCCACGATTTCTGAGGGGGAGGGTGGGGTTCACTTCGACCGGGAGCTCCCGAGCGAAGTGAACCACGCCCTCCCCCTCAGAAATCGTGTGGGATAGGGGTAAGGTTCGCGCTGGCGGCGCTGGCGACCATTGAGGATCCAAGCAGTGGCGGAGCGTCCTGGCTCGCCTATAGCCCTACCAAACACTGTTCTAAGGACCTTTTCGTGGTTCCCAGGAAGTGTTCTCAGAACATTTCTGGCTGGGACGGTCTTGTTTGAACGCATCGGGTTTGTGTTCTAAGAACATTTTTTGCTTCTTAGAGCATTTTTGGGTTCTAAGAACATTTCGTGGTATGACTCTAGGAATGCCGGGACGGTCGGTCCCTGCTCAGAGGATCGACTACACGTAAGAGTGACCCTTCGCCACAGTGACCTCTGGTGCGGGCCCAGGGGGGTCCCCGATGCCGTTCGCGAGGCGGTGGTCGCGTCTTCCGCGCTTGTGTTTGGTCCCCCCGAACGCCGCGCACCAAAGGTCGCTCTTACCCAGGGTCACACTTGCGTGTAGCCGAGAGGAGCTGGTGCCCACGGTGGAGGAGCTGAGCAAGGACCCGCCTCACGAGCGGCGAGCCCCCAGGCATGCTCGCGTCGGAAGAAACGTCGGGGCGGAAGAGGCGCTTCGCTCCTGTGTCGGCCCCGGTCAGGGCGTTTTTTTTTCGTCCTCTTCGGCCTCAGGGGGCCCTCGGCCGCGCCCGCACTGTATACAGCCCAGGAGGAGAGGTGCCGATACCGCCACCCTTGCCTCCCTCTGGCATCTCCGGGCCTCCTGGGAGGACCTCGTTCCGCGGCTGCATGCGCCTCGAGAGCTTGGTGAGGGCGCAGCCCGTGAGAGGTCCGGTGAGTCGCGGTATCGGTGTTGTTGTTGGTTTGAGGTCGGGCTGCTAGCAGGTGCCCCGGAGACGTTTCCCGTCCCCCGATGGCCCCGCAGGGACCCACGGAGGCTCCGGGGCATCTCGAGGGACCGACGAAGAGTGCTCCCCAGGATTGCTCAGAGCAGGGCTTCTCGTGGACCGGCGGAGAGCGTGCGCCTCGGCTGATGGGGGCGACCGCGGGAGCCTCGCGCTCAGGCCGTCGGGGAGCGGGCTGATCTACCCGAGTGTCGGGACCGCGGTTCTTCGGGCGTGACAGCGAGGCGTTTGCAAATCGATTCGAGTGTAAAGTAGGACTTGTTTTCACTGGCTAGCGGGATCCAGCAGCGTGACACGACCCTCCAAGTTGCCTCATAGCGCATGCGTTCTTGTCGTATGTGTCAACAGTAACCCAGCCCCTGCGGTCTGGATTCCAGGGCGCGATCCCGTGGATACCCGAGCGCAAGGATACGTTCCGCGATCTGCGGGAAAGCGCCCCGTATCTACGGCGTGCCCCCCCTTCTCTGGAAGACAGCGACGTGAAGCTCCAGCCAGCCTGGTGCGCGGTCCCCGCGGCCCCCGCCTTCTTTTTTGTGTGTGTATACATACATATATATTTATAGATATCGTGGGAACTCATGCCAAGAAACACCCTGCTTACCTCCAGGGTGCCCTGAGTTTCTTGGGCTTGGATGGTTTTGCTGTGGAAAGCGTGACGCTCCCACACCGGAAATCAGGGGACGTCCTGGGGTCTCAGGATTGGGTTTCTTGCGGTTTCTCTTGTGGTCGAGCTGCTACTGTAGGACTCCCCTGGCTGGCAAACGGCGGCCTTGGCTGGTTCCCCGAGGAGGAACACATATACCGTCATCCTTCGTCGACACGGCTGGATCGTCGTCGAAATTCTGCCTGGACCACACACACAATCACACACAATAACACACAATCACACAATCACACATAATCACACACTCACACACAATCACACACAATTACACGCAATTGCACACACACACACACACTTGGAAGGCGTGGCCCATGCGGCCCCTCCGTCTTCTTCAGGAAACGAGGGCATGGGTTGCGGCGAGTGGGTCAGCGACAGGTCCCGTTTCCGTGCAGAATCGGCGCTTTCCGTCGCCGAATTGGGCGGCATTGTCTGCATGCTTTTGGGCGGGCGGCATTGTCTTTCATGTTCTCTCCCTGGTGCGTGGATGTGGCGCCCGTGCGCCAGATCCGCGGATCCGTCATCCATGCTGTTTGCGTGCTCTCCAAGTTTCAGGACTCTCTCAACTGGGGCGGTGGCCTTGGCCGGGCCTTGATAGCCAAACCATTTTGATGGGCCCATTCCCCCCCCACTACCATCGGCTGGAGAGGGAGGAGGAGGAGGAGGAGGAGGAGGAGGAGGAGCAGGAGGAGGAGGAGGCGGAGGCGAGGAGCCAGGCGGAGGAGGGGAAAAAGGAGGAGGGAGGCGGAGGAGGAGGAAGGAGGAGGGAGGAGGAGGAGAAGGAGCAGGAGGAGGAGGAGGAGGAGGAACGAGGGGGGAGGAGGAGGAGGAGGAGGAGGAGGAGGAGGAGGAGGAGGAGGAGGAGGAGGAGGAGGACGGAGGAGGAGGAGGAGGAAGGCGGTAGGAGGGGAGGAGGAGGAGGAGAGGCGAGGAGGAGGAGCTCCTTCCTCCTCTCCTCCCCCCTCCTTCCTTTCCTCCTCCTCCTCGTCCTCCTCCCTCTCTCCCTTTATCCTCCTCCTCCTCATCTCCTCCTTCAGCACGCTCGACCTCCTCCTCTCCTCCTCCTCCTCCTCCTCCTCTCCTCCTCTTTCTCCTGCTCCTCCTCCTCCTCCTCCTCCTCCTCCTCCTCCTCCTCCTCCTCCTCCTCCCCCCGACCTACACATGGTGGTGGTGGTGGATGGAGCAGTCTGCCCACCAAAGCTTGGGGAGCCCCCTCGGAAGCCACGGCGCACCCCCTCAGAGAGCTGCGGCGGAGGCGCGGCCCCCGCGCAGCAGGGCGCCCGCCGTGCCGCCCCGCGCCCGGGGGTCGGCGGCGAGCGGGGGGGGGACGCGAGGAGGAGCAGGAGAAGCCAGAAATCCTCGATCCTCGTTTCTCGAGGCAGAAATTCTCGATCCTCGATCCTCGAGAAGGAGAAGCCAGAGGTCCTCGATCCTCGAATTTCTGTTTGGGGGGAAAAAAATCCTCGATTCTCGAGCGTGAGGAAGCTGAAGCGTGAAAAATCCTCGAGCGTGAAACAACTCGTTCCTCGAGGCAGAAATTCTCGATCCTCGATCCTCGAGAAGGAGAAGCCAGAAGTCCTCGATCCTCGAATTTCTGTTTGGGGCTAAAAATCCTCGATTCTAGAGCGTGAAAGAGCTCGTCGCATTCCACCCTGGTGCCTCGAGCCGCGACCCCCGGGGGAGGAGAAGCGATACTACCACCACCACCAGAGGGGCCACTCCAGCGAGGAGGTCCACGACGCCCCCCGGAGCTGGGGAGAGGGGGCGTCTCGAGCGGGGGGGGGGAGGCCACACCAGCAGACGGGCCCACCTCCCCCGGCTCCTCGCGAAGGTGGTGCTGGTGTTGTCGTGCTTCCTCTTACGTGTTCCTGTTCCGTGTTCTTCTCGGCGGCGAGCGAGGGGGGGGAGTGAGAAGGAGAAGGCCTTCACAGAAGGCGGCGAGATCGCAAACAGGGATCAAGTGGACGTGGATTAGCGACGGGTCCCGTTTCCATGGGAAATCGCGGATGTCCGCCGCCGAGCGTGGCGGCACCGGCCGCATTTTGGGGATGGCACCTCCCCCGACCCATGGATGTGGCGACCGCGCGCCAAACCCATGGATCGCGAATCCATGTTTGCGCGCCCCCGGAGATTCCCTCGCGCCTCCTGAAGAGTTTTCTGTGCCTTCGGGGAAGGCGGAGGAGGAGGCGGAGGAGGAGGAGGAGGAGGGGGAGGAGGAGGAGGAGGAGGAAGAGGGGGAGGAGGAGGAGGAGGAGGAGGAGGAGGAGGAGGAGGGAAACTCCTCAGAAGGCGGGGGGACGCCCGAGCCTTCGGAGAAGGCCCGCCCCTCCTCGCTTTCCCCCCGGGGCCCGCCGCCGACAGGAGGAGTTCACGCGCCCGCCGCACCCAGACACGCGGCAGATCGTGGCCGCGGGGGCGGTGGACCGGAGACGCCTCCTTGTCGTCGTCGTCGTCGACGTCGTCGTCGTTGTCGTCGTCGTCGTCGTCGTCGTCGTCGTCGTCGTTGCCCTTGGCCAGGGGCGGGGGAAGGAAGGGAGGGCCAAGCTAGGTGCGCTGGCGTCACATCTGACGTCCTACCCCTCTCTCCCATCCCTTACCGTGGCGCAGATCTCCAATCCTTCGCGCAGTAGGGAAGTGGGCCGGCGCTGCAGCAGGAGCACGAGGCAGAAGGTCCGGCGCGCGGGAGCGAGGCCAGGAACGAACACGGGAATGAGGCCACCGCTGCAGCGGGAACACGATTTGGAAGCACTCGCAGGCCCAGAGGTTGACACCAACACCAAGATCGGCGGCGTGCCTCCACCGAGGGATGAAGATCCCAATCTCGGTGATGGTGGTAATATTCTGGCTTCCAAGGTGACCGAAATATTACCACCAGCACCGAAATCTAGGATCATCTTCCCCCTGTGGAGGCAACCCCCTGTTTTGGTGTTGGTGCCCATTTCCAGGCCTCCAAAGCACCGCAGCACTGGAACGAGGCCAGCGCTGCAGCGACAGCGCTACGTTGAAGGACCGAACACGCCAGTGCTGCTGCGGGAACACGATTTGGAACAACCGGAGGCGCGGGAACGAGGCCAGCACTGCAGCGGGAACACGATTTTGAATGACCGAAGTGCAGAAATCAGGGCGGCGTCACAGCGGGAGCGCCCTTTGGAAGAACCGGAAACGGCCGGATTGGAACAACAACTCCGTTGCAAAAACAAATGATGAAACCCAGTGTGTAAGTAAATCAGTACGCGGAGAGAACGGGGCACATTCCGGACAGAGTCAGGGGAGAGAGGAGAGTAGTAGTCAAATTGTGTGTACTTTCGGATGTGAAGAGGGGGTTCGGTGCCTCGAGCAATTTCCCCGAATGAGAACGGGGGGGGGGGGCGCCCTGTATTTCCGATTCAATTTTTCCAGGGGTGGGGGGATCTTCGGGCCCCCTTTGGATAGTTTTCCAATGTCCCGGGGGGAGACTGGGGGGGATGGGTCTGGACCCCCTTGTTTTTTCCCAACCATTCTGTGGTGTAGGGTCCTCGTTTTGAAGAGACAGCGCCCCGCGTTCTCACTCCTCCTCCCCCTCGCGCTGCCCCCTCCCTTCTCCTCCTCCTCCTCCTCCTCATCATCATCATCATCGTCATCATCATCATCATCATCATCATCATCATCATCATCATCATCATCATCATCATCATCACCATCACCATCACCATCACCATCACCATTATCATCCTCCTCCTCCTCATCATCATCATCGTCATCGTCTTCGTCTTCGTCACACCCCTCACACGTTTCATGGCCCCATAGGGAGCTGCACCTAAGGTCTCAGAGGCGCAATCCGCATGGCGGCGCCGCCCTATTTCGGCGCACCCCTCACACGGTTCCAGTGGCGCAGTCCGCATGGCGGCGCCGTCCCATCTTGGCACACCCCTCACACGGTGCGTGGCCCCACAGGGAGCTCAACCTACGGTCCCAGTGGCGCAGTCCGCAGGGCGGCGCCGCCCTATTGCCCTATTTGGGCACACCCCTCACACGTTTCGTGACCCCATAGGGAGCTCCACCTAAGGTCCCAGTGGCGCTGTCCGCATGGCGGCGCCGCCGCATTTTGGCACACCCATCACACGTGTCGTGGCCCCCTTGGGATCTCTACCTACGGTCCCAGTGGCGCAGTTGGCATGGCGGTGCCGCCCCATTTTGGCACACCTCTCACGCGTTTCGTGGCCCCATAAAGAGGGCTCTACATCAGGCCCCATTAGCAGCGCCGACATGGCGGCCCCGCCCCATTTCGGCACAATCTTCGTGGCACCATCTGGTTGGGTTCTCCTCCAGGCTAATTTTTGCTTGGGGCGGAGGTAGGGGGATGGGGTCGAGGAGGGGGGGAGGGGCTGGGGGGGGAGGTTCGGGAGGGAGGGAGGGCCCCCCCCGCCCTAGTTTCTGACCCCAGTTGATAATTCCCTTCCATCCTGTGGTGTTGGGTCCTCGTTTTGACGAAACAGCGCCCCGCGTCTCCTCCTCCCTGCTTCCTCCCCCCCTCCTCCGCCCCTGTGTCCCTCCGCATGTGTATCTTTCGGCGCACCCCTCACACGTTTCGTGGCCCCATAGGGAGCTCCACCGAAGGCCTCAGTGGCAAAGTGCGCATGAAGTTCCACCCCCATTTCGGCGCACCCCTCACGCGGTTCGTGGCCCCATAGGGGGCTCCACCGAAGGCCCCAGTGGCGCAGTCCGCGTGGCGCCGCCGCTCCCATGTCCGCGAACCCCTCACAAGGTTCGTTGCCCCATGGGGGATTCCACCGAAGGCCCTGGTGGCAAAGTTCGCATGAAGTTCCACCCCAATTTCGGAACATCCCTCACACGGTTCGTGGCCCCATGGGAGCTCCACCGAAGGCCCCAGTGGCAAAGGTCGCATTCAGTTCCGCCCATTTCGGCGCACCCCTTACACGGTTCGTGGCCCCATAGGGAGTTCCACCGAAGGCCCGAGTGTCAAAGTTCGCATGCAGTTCCACGCCCATTTCGGCGCACCCCTCCCACGGTTCGTGGCCCCATGGGGAGCTCCATCGAAGGCCCCAGTGGCAAAGACCGCATTCAGTTCCACCCCTCTCGGCGCACCTCTCACGCGGGTCGTGGCCCCAGAAGGCCCCAGTGGCGCAGTCCGCATGGCGGCGCCGCCCCACCTTGGCACACCCCTCACACGGTTCGTGGCCCCACAGTGAGCTCCACCGAAGGCCCCAATGGCAACGTTCGCATGCAGTTCTACCCCCATTTCGGCGCACCCCTCACACGGTTCGTGGCGAAGGCCTCAGTGGCAAAGTGCGCATGCAGTTCCATCGCCATTTCTGAGCACCCCTCACACGGTTCGTGGCCCCATAGGGAGCTCCACCGATGGCCCCAGTGGCAAAGTTCGCATTCAGTTCCACCCCCTATTTCGGCGCACCCCTCACGCGGTTGGTGGTCCCATCTGGAGCTCCACCGAGGATGGTATTTACCATTGCGTTACTCACAACTGCATATGGTTGGGTCTTTGGCCAGAGTATTTTTTTTCGGGGGGAGATTCGGTCTCTTTACGACCCGAACGACACTTTACAACCGAGATGGGTCACCTTAATTCCAGCAAATGATCGAATTCCATGGTTTTTCATTGAGGACGACCACTCTACAACCAGAACAGCCCACTTTACAACCAGAACGACCACTTTACAACCCGGATGGGGCTCTTTGCAACCAGAACGGCCACTTTACAACCAGCCTTCAGAAGCGCAGAAGCGCGTGAGCGCTCTGCAGAGGCTTCTCAGGCTTCTGAACGCCTGCCCGAGCGCTCTGCAGAGGCTTCTGAGCGCCTGAGCGTTCAGCAGAGGCTTCTGAGCGCCTGGGCGCTTTGCAGGGGCCTCTGAGCGCCTGAGCGCCCTGCAGACGCTTCTGTGGCTTCTTAGCGCCTGGGCGTTCTGCAGAGGCTTCTGAGCGCTTGCGCGCTCTGCGGAGGCTTCTGAGGTTCTGAGCGCCTTCCTGCAGATGCTCTGAGGCTCCTGAGCGCTTGAGTGATCTGCAGGGGTCTCTGAGGAGAAGGATGAGGAGGGGGCGGAGGAGTGGGGCCGCTTTGCGGCTGCTGCTGCCGCGTTGCTGCTCTCCGGGGCTTTGGGGGGGCCTCCGGGGAGACGCAAAACATGTCTTGGCCGCATTTCCACCTACCTGGGTGCGCATGCTTCCGCGAAGGTGAAAACAACAGGTTTGCGATTGCCATCCGCTGAGGCGCGAGGGCAAAAAATGTCTGCAAGGCCAAACACATACAAGTTGAAATCCGCATGCATTGGCTATAATTGAATCAACGATGTCTTGTGCACATTTCCGCCCTCCTGGGTACGCATGCTTCCGTAATGCCCACAGTTGAAACTGACATGTATTGGCTATACCATGGATTCTTGGCCACATGTCCGCTTTCCTGGGTACGCATGCATCCTCATATGCGAAAACCTACGGTTGTGTCTTTGCCGGACGATCAGGCGCGAGGGCAAAACATGTCTATGATACACACTTGTTGACATCCACATTATTGGCCAGAATTTGACCAACGTTTTCTTGGCGACACTTCCGCTCTCCTGGGGGCGTGGGTGTTCCTCTACGTCTTTGGCGACGGCGAACCCTCTTTTGCCAAGAGAAGCGAGATTTTCAGGCAGAGATTCTGAGGTTCCAACAAAACGATGTACATTTAAGGCATAAGTGTATAAAAAGGCGCCAATCGCCCAGGCCTGTCACCAGCCTGTAGCAGGAGGATCCCGATTGGATGTCAATTGGACTCCAATAGCTCCTTTTGGAGACCAGAAGGATAATAGTAGGACGCCAATCGGGGTGCAGTATGATTCAGAGAGGACATGTCTTGTTGGGTTACAGTTGGGCCGCGATGAGATCATAATGTGGCCGTATGCATGGATCGGAAAGGAAAAAATCCGATTGGATTCGGGTGCGGTATTCCTCGTATACGCCAATCTGTCTCCGATGGGATTTGCAAGAGAAGCCGTTCCAATTGTTTCCGGAAGAGAACTCCAAAAGATCCCCAACGGGTTTCCATCTAGTACCCCAGTGCGTTTCCCGCAGCATTCCAATAGGAAGGTTTCTCGATTGTAATTCTTTGGGGTTCCCAACCCGTTTCCATTAGGAAGGGCCCCGAAGGGTTTCAACAGGAAGACTCTCTATCGGATTCCACTAGGACACCCGTAGGCCCCATAGCGAGGAATCGTGTTGGGTACCAATGGGATTCATCCGGTGTCAACAGGATCCCAGTGGGAAGGGTGCCGCTAGATTCCAATAGGCTTCCTTTTGGATCCCCTTAGGAGTCCGCCACTTCACATATTCTCGCTTCAGACGAGTCACGTTACAACCAACACGCTTCGGAGACCGAGTTGTCTCCCATACGTGGGCCCACGGATCTTTCGTAAATCGTCGAACAATCGTCGCTCATTTGCGTTTACTTGCCTGGTTGTAAAGTGGCCTTCCTGGTTGTGAAGTGCCCTTGTGGGAAAACCCATGCTGGTTATAAGTGCCCCATCTGGCTGTCAAGTGGCTGCTCTGGTTGGAATGTGACCCGCACGCGGGGGGGTGGGCGGATTTGGAGCAGGTCCTGTTTCCGGACCCCCCTTGACGACATGTGTTGGGCCGGACGACGGTCGATCGCGCTTCCTTATCCACTGTAACGGAAGGTCGTGACTATGGTATGGGTTTTACTTTGGAGGACACGCTGCAGATGGCAGTATCGTCAACAGGAATAGTAATGAGATCCACGGGCGAACACACTACAGTAGAAGATCATGCCAATGAACACCCTGCTTGCCCTCAGGGTTGGGTTTCTTGTGAAGGGTTTCTTGTGGACTGGCTTCCACTGTAAGTAGCGAGGTGCACGGGCGAAGACAGTACATCCAGCAGGGAAGCAGTCGTTTTGCGTGGGCGTGCCTTGTGCGATTGCAGAGCTGGCGGTGAACTGCCTCGGAGGCTGGGCGAAGGAGCGAGCATCGTCGAGCAGCTGCAACAAGTATGGTCTCAATCCGCTTTCGGAGGGCCACGTGCGTATCTGATTTCTTCTGCTTGCGTTTTGAGCAAGGTCTTGTATTCTCTGGGCTCCGTATGTATTCTCCAAGCCGAGAGAGCACGACTAGACGCCTTTCACTGCAAATGCACAGAGAAGAGATTGGGTACTCCGCCATCGTTTATGTCCAGGGTCACCGGCGCCACCGTGTTGATCAATGCCGTGGCGAAGCCGCTATCCTACGTATTCTACGGCCAACAAATTCAAGCAGTGGCGAAGCGTCCTGGCGTGCCTATAGGCCTACCAAGCCATGTTCAAAGAACATGTCTAGTGATTTGCACGAACATTAGAACACTTCTGGCTGGGAATGTGTTGTTTTAACACATCGGGATTCTGTCCTAAGAACATTGTTTTTGTTCTTAGAACATAATTCTACGAACATGTCGTGGTAGGCCGATAGGAATGCCGGGACGGTCGATCCCTGCTTTGCCAGTGGCGCTGCATACCAAGATTGTGAATCGAAGTGTTTCTTGCTTGGCGAAACAGTACTCTGCAATGCTGATGGTTCTGGGCCTTCCGTAGGAGGCATGGGCGGCCGCGACAGCGATGGGCCACCTCGGTGTATGAGCTCTTGTGACTCATAACGATACCTATGCCACTAGACCCTTTTCCTCCTCCCCTCCTGCTGCCCGTCTTTTTATTTTCAGCTTTCCGCTCCCCCGGACGAGGTTGCGCTTGATTCGCGTTTTGTTCCTCACATCCCCCCTTCCGCACTTCTGCTTCACAGTCAGGCGCTCCATTTTTCGGCCTCACGGTCTTGAGTCGTTCTGTTGTCCGTCTCTCGATTCGTAACTCCCGGAGCGCTGCCAATCGCGCGCTCTTCTGCCCACGCATCCTTGCGGACACTTGGCTCTGTGGTGGTGGTAGTGGTGGGCGCCCCCCGCAACCGCAACAGCCGAGAAAACGGATGTTGGCCACACCCGCACCTACAACCAGGGAGCACACTGCGGCTCGCCCGAGGTCCCGAAATCGTATGCAAAAGTCGTTAGGTCGTGATTGTTCGAAGACTTGAGGGGTCTGGGAAGAGGGTGTCGACGTCGACCGACGTCGACCTCTCACCACCCATCAAACCACCCTCACCCAACCCGAAGGCCTCAGTTTGCCCTCCATGTCCAGGGGGGGCGGTCGGGTAACAATGAAGAAACACTCGGAGGTGGATAGACCTCCTTCCCTGACGCGTCGATTAGCGAATTGGCCGTTTTCGGTTCGCGAGAGGGCGTCGCGGCCGTCATTTTTGCGGGCCCAGGTCCGTCGGTTTCGGTCCCAGGCCGTTTTCACTAAGGGGAGGTTTACTCGAGGGAGGTTTGTCCACCGCCGAAACACGTATGACATCCGCACTCCCCGCCAACCCGACATTGGGATCTTCGGGTCAGGTTGGGGTGGTCTGGTAGGTCGTCCACTTCGGGACCCATCCCCGGGCGCGCTCCCCGGCCAGGGTCTCGAGGAGAGTCGCTCAGCTGTGGCGGCGGTGCGGAGCCTCCTGGAGCCCCCCCCCCGAAGAAAAAGCCGAACGCGCCAGAAATCCTCGATCCTCGATTTTTTAAAATGAGAGCAAATCCTCGATTCTCGAGCGTGGCAGCTCGTCGCATTCCACCTCCGGCCTCGAACCTCGCCCTCCGGGGCAGGAGAAGCGATACCACCACCACCACCAGAGAGGCCACTCCAGCGAGGAGGTCCACGACGCCCCCCCGAGCTGGGGATGTGGGGCGTCTCGAGCAGGGAGTGGAGGCCACACCACCAAGAGGACCCACCTCCTCTGGCTCGTCGCGCTGGTGGTGGTGGTGGTGGTGGTTGTCGCGCCGGTCTTCGGGAATGGCAGATGTGTGGAAGTTGCCTGCTCGCACGCGCGCGTCTCGCTGGCTACCTCCGCCCAGAGGGAGGTGCAGCACGCGGGCCGGAGCTGGTGGTTTGAAGCCGGAGGGGATGCTGCGTGCAGCCGGCGGATCTCCACGTCTTTCCTCTGCTCACGCGCCGCCTGGTGCAAGGCTGCACCTGGCCCGACCTGCAGTCGAGCTCGACTAGCAGGGCGGCCCTGCCAGACATCGAGGGCACCCTCGCGTCCCGTGCTGGTCGACCCAGGCCTCCCGCAGTCCTGCGGCGCCGCGGCCCCGGGAGGGGCCTGGCCCCCCCCCCCCGCGTGTCCGCTCCGATCGAGCTCGGCTGCGTCGGCTCCTCGGGCCCGGACCCTCGGACGCTGCGCACCCCCGGGTGTGAGTCGGGCCCGTCCCTCTACAGGGGGATCCAAACTGGTCAAACAATAGCCTGGGGACTGCTTTTGCTTATTTTTTGGGCATCTTGGAGTATTTTTTTAGAGTCTCTCTTATCTTTCGTCGGACATCCCGCTGTAGGGGGACACGCCCGACTTCATCCCAGGTGTGCGAGCAGTACTTTTGTCCATATCCACTGCAGTATGGAGTTTCGGGTTCCCTTCCCCAGAAGCCCGAGGCGCACTGGATATGGATGAATTTCCCCCCTGGAGGCACGATTTTTATCCATGTCCAGTGCACCTCGGCTTTGTGGCGCCTCTTCCCAAAAAATCGAAGGCGCACTGGATATGGACATAAATCTTGCCCGCAAGGTGGAGCCCCTGGTGGCCCTGCTCTCGACCGGCAGCGCGGAGGGCCGCGGCAACGCGGCCGCGGCGCTGTGCCAGCTGACGGAGCTCTCCCGGAGCGGCAGGCGGCACCACGACGCGATCGTGCAAGCAGGCTCCCCGCCCCGCCTCCCTGCCTCTCTGCCTCTGCCTCGCCGCGCCGACCACTGCTGCGGGCAGTACTTATATCCACATCCAGAGCGTAGTGGACTTTTTGGGAAGAGGTGCCGCAACGCCGAGGCGCACTGGATATGGATAAAATCAAGCCTCTTGGGGCTAGATTGTTATCCATATCCAGTGCGTCTACGGTTTCTGGGGAAGAGAGCCCGAGAATCCAAGACTCACTGGATGTGGATATAACTATTGCCCGCAACTGCGGGCGAGGAGCGCTGTGCACATGCACCGAGCTTGGCTCATGATGTCCCAGCCCACTCCAGCCTCGACCAGCAGACAGAGTTCCGAGCCTCCCAAAAAATACAGATTCTCGGGGGGGTTCACGTGTCGGGCCCGGGAGACGCTCGTCCGACACTGCTTCGACACTCTGTCGACACTTTTCCGGGTGCTCGAACATATTTCTGGGATGTGGTCCTTACGTACGATGAGAGCTGCCCAAATCTTGGCCAGGCCCATCTTGGCCCCAGGATCGGTGCACATGGCGTCCTGGCCAAGGCGGGGGGGGTGGCGCATATGCACGGATCCTGGGCGCAGGAATGTGCCTGGCCAGAATCGGTGTGTGTGCGTGTGTGTTTGTTCCCCTCCTGAAATGGCTGGCCACGCGGCGACCCCCCCCCGTCGCGCACGGCCACGCGACCGGCCCTTCCCTCCGCGGCTCCTCGCCCCTGCCGGCGTGGAGGTGTCGAGGTCAGTGGTCGAGGGCAGAAGCGCGGGGACCACGCCCACGACGTCTCGCGGGATCCTGCCCCTGCCCTGAAGTCGGGCCTGTCCCCGGGATTTTCGATAAACAAATAAAAAATACACACCAAAAATAGTCAAAAGATAGTCCAAAGATAGTCTGGGGACTATTTTATTTAGTATTTTTCGACCACTCTGGGGTATTTTTGGGTATTTTTAATTTTTCGTCGAAAATCTCCCTGTAGGGGGACACGCCCGACTTAACCCTGCCCATCCCGGTCATGGCCCACGTCGGCCGCCGCCGAGCCGCGTGGACGATCCACGAGTCGACGCCGACCAAGATCGACGGGGACCAAGAACGGCACGACGCTTACAATAAGCGCAGGACTGCGACGAGAAGGTGGAGGAGGAGGAGGAGTAGGAGTAGGACGAGAAGGATCAGTGTAAACCCAAGAGGCATCAACGATGTTGGAATAAACCCTCCCTCTAAGCTCCCTCTTTCATAGACCCCATATAACGGTCCATTTCCATTGAGGGAGCTGCCACGATGGACGACAACCGTTTGAAGACCCTGCAGCATGCCGAAACATTGTTCTCGGCATTCCACCGCCACGGATCAACCTGACTGTTGCTTCGTGACGATCCAGATTCGTGTCAGAACGCAGTTCCTGGGGTTTCAACACAGCGAATCAACGTAACTGTTGCGCCCGCGTAATCCTGAGTCTTTTCAAAAACAATGTCTGGTACGTTAGTGACGGGAATCCGTGAAACCCTGGCAGTTTTTATAACGAATGCGCGCAGCGCTAATGCGAGAGCCGCATTTTGAAAACCACTCGCCCTCAATCCGTGAGGCTCTTGCGAATTTTTGAAGCGAAGGTGCTTCTCGATAAAGCGAGAGCCATCTTTTGGAAACCACCCGCCTTCAATCCGTGAGGCTCTTGCAAGTTTTGAAAACGAATGTGCGCCGCGCTAAGGCGAGACCCTCATTTTGAAAGCCACCCGTCCTCAATCGGTGAAACCCTTGCAAATGTTTAAAACGAGTGTCCGCCCCGCTAAGGCGAGAGCCGCATGTTGAAAACAACTTGCCCTCATTCCGTGAAGCTCTTGCACATGTTTAAACGAATGTGCGCCGCGCTATGGCGAAAGCGCCACATTTTGAAAACAACCCGCCCTGAATCCGTGAACCCTCGCACATTTTGAAAGCGAATCTGCGCCGCGCCAAGGCGAGAGCCACATTTTGAAAACCGCCCGCCCTCCATCTGTGAATCTTTTGCCACTTGTTAAGCTTCAGAGTCGTAGGTGGTGAGGAAGTCTCGGGCGAAACGCCAGGCCCGCCCTAACAACTCGCCTCGGGGTGCGACAGGGAGACATTGTTGACATGGAAACGGAATGGAGGAGGAGGAGGTGGAGGAGGAGGAGGAGGAGGAGGATGAGGACCAGTGGAAACCCCAGAGGCACCAACGATGTTGGAATACACCCTCCCTCCAAGTTCTCTCCTTCATAGGCCCCTACAACGATTCATTGCCATTGAGGGAACTGCCTCGATGGAAGACAACCGCTTGAAGACCCTGCAGCATGCTGAAACATTGATCCCGGGATTTCAACGCCACGGATCAAACATCCTGTTCTGTGTTGACGATCCAGATTCGTGCCAGACCACAACTTCTGGGATTTTAACACAGCGAATCAACGTGACTTGCGCGCCCGCGTAATCCTGAGTCTTTTCAAAAAAACAATTTCTGGTACGTTGGTGACGGGAATCCGTGAAACCCTTGCAATGTTTGTAGTGCATGCGCGCAGCGCTAAGGCGAGAGCCACATTTTGAAAACCGCTCGCCCTCAATCCGTGAGGCTCTTGCGAGTTTTTGAAACGAATGTGCTCCCTGCTAGAGGCGAGACCCTCATTTTGAAAACGACCCGCCCTCAATCCGTGAGGCTCTTGCAAGTTTTGCAAGCGAGTGTGCGCCGCGCTAAGGCGAGAGCCATCTTTTGGAAACCACCCGCCCTCAATCCGTGAGGCTCTTGCAAGTTTTGAAAACGAATGTGCGCCGCGCTAATGCGAGAGCCACCTTTTGGAAACCACCCGCCCCCAATCCGTGAGGCTCTTGCAAGTTTTGAAAACGAATGTGCGCCGCGCTAATGCGAGAGCCACATTTTGACAACCACCCGCCCTCATTCCGTGAAGCTCTTGCAAATGTTGAAACCGAATGTTCGCCGCGCTAAGAAGGCGAGAGCCACATTTTGAAAACCATTAATCCGTGAATGTGCGCCGCGCCAAGGCGAGAGCCACATTTTGAAAACCAACCGCCCTCCATCGGTGAAGCGTTTGTCAATTTCAAGCTTCAGAGTCATCAGTGGTGAGGAAGTCTCGGGCGAAACGCCCGGCCCGCCCTAAAAACTGGCCTCGGGGTGCGACAAGGAGAAATTGCTTATAAGGAAAAGGAATGGAGGAGGAGGAGGAGGAGGAGGAGGAGGAGGAGGAGGAGGAGAGGAGGAGGAGGAGGGAGGAGAGGAGAGGAGGGAAAGGGGGGAGGAGAGGAGGAGGAGGAGGGGAGGAGGAGGGGGAGGCGGAGGAGGGAGGAGGAGGAGGAGGACCAGGAGGAGGAGGAGGAGAGGAGGAGGAGGAGGCGGAGGAGGAGGGAGGAGAGGAGAGGAGGAGGAAGGAGAGGAGAGCGAGGAGGCAGGAGGAGAGGAGGAAGAGGAGGAGGAGGAGGAGGATGTCTTGGTCGTGGCCCCGTTTTCTTCTTCTCCTCCACGGAACCTGGCACCCGCCCAGCCACGCGCAGAGGGCCGGCCGCCCCGGGCGCCGGCGGGAAGGCTCTGCCAGGGCGCTGGTGCAGTGAAGGTGCTATCCCGGCAGACTTCAGGGACGATCACCAACTCAGACTCCTCGTCCTCCTCCTCCTTCTCCTCCTTCTCGTCGTCCTCCTTCTCCTCCTCCGCCTCCTCCTCCTCTTCCTGCGCCCCCTGCTGCTCCTCCTCCTTTTCCTCCTCCTCCTCCTCTTCCTCCTCCTCCTCCTCCTCCTCGTCGTCCGTCTCCAGATTCCCGTCAGACTTCAGGGATGTGCGCAGTCGGCTGTCACCCAGCAGTTTGCAAATCCATAACTCGCGGTGCTCATCGCTTCGCCAGAGCCATCGTCATGTGCAAAGCGGTAGTTTCAGTGGGGGATGACCGCTTCTCGTCTGTATGGCTCTCCCACTGGGCCTATCGCATGACTGTCGGGCAGATGGACCCGAGATGCTCCTGCTCATGCTTCTGGTCGTCGTCTTCAGCCTCGTCGTTCTCGACATCCTTACCCTTATCATGGTGCTGCTTGCTGGTCGTCCTCGTCCCCCTCGCCTTCCCCATCTCCTCCATCTCCCCACTCCTCCGAAGCATCCTCCTCCTTCTACCCCTCCTCCTTCATCGCCTCCCCCTCCTGGACCTGATGGACGTGCTTCAGGCCATCCTGTCTCTTCCCCTCTCCTCCGCTCTCCGCCTCTCGCAAACATGAGCTGCCCGAGACCACCCTTCGTGCTCTCCTCCTGCCCGCCACGTCGCTCCCCTCTGGGAGCTGCAGAGGGCACCCGGGGCCCGCGCCGTCGCCGGCGCCCGCGCGCTGCCGTGCAGGCGCGCTGACGCCGCTGGTGGTGCTGCTGGCCGACGCGCAGGATGCGAGAAGCAGGGCCTGGGCAGCTGGCGCTCTGAGGAGGGGCCCCCTGCTCCTCCTCCTCCTCCTCCTCCTTCTCCTCCTTCTCCTCCTCCTCTCACCCCTCCCTCTCCTCCCCTCACCTCCTCTCACTCCTCCTCCTCCTCCTCCTCCTTCTCCTCCTCTCTCTCCTCCTCCCTCTACCTCCTCCTCCTCCTCCTCCCTTCCCCTCCTCCTCCTCTTCCTCCTCCTACTTCTCCTCCTCCTCTCTCCTCGTCCCTCCTCCTCCCCTCCTCAATCCTCCTCCCTCCTCTCCTCTCCTCCTCCTCCCTCTTCCTTCCCCTCCTCCTCGCCTCCTCCTCCTCCTCCGCCCCCTCCTCCTTCTCCTCCTCCTCCTTCTCCTCGTCCTCCTCCTTCTCCTCCTCCTCCCCCCTCCTTCTCCTCCCCCTCCTCCGCTCTGGGGAGTGGAGCCTGCTCTGTACCCATTCGGGACGATCGAACTGGGTATGAGAGAGTGGATCAGTTGCCCAACAGCAGCTCCAGTTCATTCTGAACAGGGCTGGCTGTCCGCGCCACCGCGGACGCTGTTCACTGGAGACAGAAAGCCGCCTGCCCAACAGCGGATCAACATCATCATCATCATCATCATCATCATCATAATCATCATAATCATCATAATCATCATCATCATCAGCATCATCATCATCATCATCATCATCATCATCATCATCATCATCAACATCAACATCAACATCATCAACATCATCACCATCGTCAATATCAACATCAACATCAACATCATCATTATCGTCGTCATCATCATCATCATCATCGTCGCCGTCGTCATCATCATCATCATCACCATCTTGATCACCATCATCCTCCGCCGGGAAGATCGTTTATTATCCCCCCTCCAGAGCCCGAGCTTTCTTATCCCCAGGGGTTTAACATCAGGGTTATGGGGTTAGACACTGTACCCATTTTTTCCGTACCCATTTCGAGCGTCCAAATTTGTACCCATGGCCTCCCATATGGGGTCCGAGCAGGGGGTCGGAGGACCGCGCCGCATCGCCGATGCATCGGCGATGCGGCTCGATGAGGAGCCGGAGTTTTTCGCCACGCCAGCAGCGCTGTGCGTCGCGCAAGGGGGAGGGGGCGACAGCAAGGGGGCGGCGGCGAGGGCTGCAGAGAAGAGGCCCTTGAGGGCTCAGGGCTCAGAAGCGAGGGCCCGAAAAGTGCACATTGTTCTTGTTCCATTCGTCGAGAGTTCTTCGATTTTTTTGGGGACCAAGATCCTTTCAGTTCTAATCGTTCTATCCTGGGCCTCTTCCTGGCCACCAGGGTGCCTGGAACACTCAGAAGCGAGCACAATTAGAGATGAGCACGATTAGAAATGAACGACGTGTACACCCTTCTCCTCCCCCCACGTATTCGCCCCCCCCCCCCCCCCCACCCCCCTTAAGCGACGCCCCCCGCGGCGTCGTCGGTGCACCGCTGGGCGATGCGGAGCGATCTGCCGACCCCATCTGCGGGGGCCCCGGCGGGAGGCCTCCGTCGTCGGGGGAGGAGCGGGCGCGGAGTGGCCGCCGTGGTTGGGCACACGCGCCTCCGTGGGCGAGGGTTGTCGAAGCGAGCGCAAGTGGGCGAATGGGTCTCCTCCTCACTCCTCCTACTACCTCCATCAACACCTAATCCTCCTCCTCTCCTCACGTCTCACTCACTCCTCCTCCTCCTCCTCCCTCCTCCTCCTCCTTCTCCTCCTCCTCCTCCTCCTCCTCCTCCTCCTCCTCCTCCTCCTCCTCCATGCTGGGAGGCTGCGGCAAAGGAGGAAGGGTGGGGGAGCGTCCAGGAAGAAGAGCCCACGGCTGCCTGATTCGATCTGCGCTGTCTGTCTGGCAGCGTCCCGGGAGGAGTGGCCGGGCCATGGCTGCCAGAGCGGGCGTTGCCCGAAGTGCGGTATCGTCTGTGGCTCTGGTGATTGTTTTTTCCTGCGTGGGCGGCGGGGGCGACGACAAGAGGCCCTCTCAGAGGCCCCGAGGATCCCCCCGACGTTCCCAAGATGCCCCAAAGAGACCCCCAGGTGGTACCCAGAAAGCTTTCCCGAGGCGCCCCAGAGGTTTTCGATAAGCTTCACAACGCTCATGCTCTGCGCTTTATGGACGCGCACCCCGCGAAGCGACAGGAATTTTCCCTCGGCCCCCCCCCGGAGAGGACACGAGCCTCGTAGATGCCTCAAGCCCTCAGGAATGGTCCAAGACTCCCCAGGAGACTTCCGAGAGGCCCTCCAAGGCTTCAAGTTGTTTCTTCCTCAAGAACAGATTTGTCAATGCGGGAACCAACATGATATTTCCCTCTTCTCCCTTCTGCGTGTCTCGTTCCTCTTCCGCTCTTGCTGCCTGGCTCTTCCCGTTATCCCCATGCGCACCAACCTTCCCTGTTTCGTGAATGTATGTTTTTCAAGGTCGGGGTTCGTGGCTGTGTCAGGTGTCGCGCTGTTGCGAGCGAGGTTGTCCTGATTGAGTGTTTGTGGGTTCGGCTTGTACACATGTTTGATTCAAGCTGGGAGCTCAAAGCGCAGGAGAAGGAGGATAATGACGAGGAGGACGAGGAGGAGAAGGAGGAGAAGGGGAACGATGACGACGGCGACAACGGCGAGCAGGAGGAGGACGAGGCGGACGGTCACAACGACGGCGACGAGTGCAATCCAGGCCAGGCAAGAGGAGGAGTAGGAGCAGCAGGCGCGGTAGTTGGAAGATGCGGCGGAGGGGAGCCAGAGCAGGCGGAGGAGGAGAGGAGGAGTACGATGTGGTGTCGAGGCCTGCCCAGGGGTTCACAGACTGGCCTCCGAGAGAGGGGGCCCCATGGACGGGACGGCGTTTCCAGGCTGAGTGTTGCTCTGTCCGGGGCCTCCTCGCCCCAGGGCCCGATGTGCTCTGAGCCGCTTGTGTAAAGTCGGGCATGTCCCTCCACAGGAGGGATATTCAACAGTCAAAGAGTAGTCTGGGACCGATTTGTTTTAGCATGTGCGATTAGATTTCGAATATGCTTTGAGTATCTTTGATTTTTCGTCCACAATCCGCCTGTAGGAGGACACGCCCGACCTAACGCTGGTGACCTCTACCTCCCCCGAGGCATCTCGCCGCGAGCGTGGACGAACAGCAGATCGAGCACTCGATCCCCCCAACGCGGGGCAGCCGCGACGCGATCATGCAGACCATTCGGTCATATTGCTTGTAGTGCGTCCTGGCTCCCATCCCCCACATGATCGCCTTCGTTATCCCTCTCGTTATCCTCACCTCTGCTCTCCATGGGATAGCCTGCATCCCAGCGCGTCTTTGCCTCCAGCTCCTGCCCTCCTCCCCTCTCGGGGTGGGGAGGAGGGAGGGGGAATGAGATTTGGGTGGAGAGAGGGAGTGAGGGAGGAGAGCTCTCCCTTCTTCCCCCCTATCCGCCGCCATCCCCCCCTCATCATTTCCACCTCCCCCCTGCCATCTGCAACCTCGTCGTCACCTTCATCCGCGCCTCCCCTATTCTTTCTCTCCGTTCGCTTCCCCACGTCGCTCCCCTTCCGAGCCCCCCTTTTGCTCTGCTCCCATGGCAAGTGGATTAGCCGAGGAGCCCCGGGGGGCCCACGGATGTGATCTGGAGCAGGACCGGGCCCTGAGAGATCCCCTTCTTCAGTGGGTGGCGGGAGGCCCGCCGTGTGCCACTTCATAGGCGGGCGTACATGCTCGGGACAGCCTCCCGTAGCGGCCTCGAGCAGAGGGAGGAAGAACGGGAGCGAGGCCAAGAGCGGGAGGGAGAGGGGATAAGGAGGACAGATCATGAGGAGTGGGAGGAGGATCAGCAGCATTGGATGGGTGAGGGGGCTCTCCTACTCCTCCGCCTCCTCTTCCTCCTCCTCCTCCTCCTCCTCCTCCTCCTCCTCCTCCTCCAGTCCGCGTGGCAGGCCCGTTTTTTTACTGGATCCGTTTTGCGATTTTTGTTGTTGGTTCCGGCGCAGTTTTTTTGGTTTCATTGCCTTTTTTGTTGCCGTTTCCGGTTCCGGTTCCGACTCCGCAGCCGTTTTTCTGCCGTTTCTGGTTGCTGTTATTTTACTTCCCCACATCCTGAGTGGGGTTCTTGTTTTCCCAGAACACCCTCTCCTTCCCACCCACCTCCCGCTCCACCTTCCATACAGCACAATATTATTCCTACCACACACACCATACCATACCATAGTTCCTACCACACATACCATACCATACCATACCATACCATACCACACCATACGTACCATACCGTACCATACCATACCATGGCGTACCAAGCATACCACACTGCCCTCCCACCTCCAGGGAGGCCCCGCCTGAGCGAGGAGGGTATCGGAAAACCATACTATTTACATGGTTTCGTGCCCCTCCCACCCCTGCAGGGAGGCCCCGCCTGAGCGAGGAGGGTATCGGAAAACCATACTATTTACATGGTTTCGTGCCCCTCCCACCCCTCCAGGGAGGCCCCGCCTGAGCGAGGAGGGTATCGGAAAACCATACTATTTACATGGTTTCGTGCCCCTCCCACCCCTCCAGGGAGGCCCCGCCTGAGCGAGGAGGGTATCGGAATACCATACTATTTACATGGTTTCGTGCCCCTCCCACCCCTCCAGGGAGGCCCCGCCTGAGCGAGGAGGGTATCGGAATACCATACTATTTACATGGTTTCGTGCCCCTCCCACCCCTCCAGGGAGGCCCCGCCTGAGCGAGGAGGGTATCGGAATACCATACTATTTACATGGTTTCGTGCCCCTCCCACCCCTCCAGGGAGGCCCCGCCTGAGCGAGGAGGGTATCGGAATACCATACTATTTACATGGTTTCGTGCCCCTCCCACCCCTCCAGGGGGCCCCGCCTGAGCGAGGAGGGTATCGGAATACCATACTATTTACATGGTTTCGTGCCCCTCCCACCCCTCCAGGGAGGCCCCGCCTGAGCGAGGAGGGTATCGGAATACCATACTATTTACATGGTTTCGTGCCCCTCCCACCCCTCCAGGGAGGCCCCGCCTGAGCGAGGAGGGTATCGCAGCAGGGAGCCTCGTTACATCGTGCCCCTCCCACCCCTCCAGGAGGCCCCGCCTGAGCGAGGAGGTATCGGAATACCATACTATTTACATGGTTTCGTGCCCCTCCACCCTCCAGGGAGGCCCCGCCTGAGCGAGGAGGGTATCGGAATACCATACTATTTACATGGTTTCGTGCCCCTCCCACCCCTCCAGGGAGGCCCCGCCTGAGCGAGGAGGGTATCGGAATACCATACTATTTACATGGTTTCGTGCCCCTCCCACCCCTCCAGGGAGGCCCCGCCTGAGCGAGGAGGGTATCGGAATACCATACTATTTACATGGTTTCGTGCCCCTCCCACCCCTCCTGCGTCGCGAGGAGGGCATCAAGAAAATGGGTCCCACGAAACCGTTAATCTCTTTATGTGGGGAACTCCGTTAGCATAATTTGTTTATTTTCAAGAGACGCTGTTTTGGAAACGATGAAAAGGCGGCCCTGCCGCTTCTAGGTCCACTAAGCGTGGCCAGCTCCAGTCGAGACGATTTCGCTTCTGTGTATCCCCGTGCCTGCGGCAAATCCGCCACCGTGCATTCGCATGAAGGGATCGGCTCGGTTCGGTTCGGTCCGGTTCTGCAGCCGGGTCGGTTTTGCTTGGCCGGTTCGGTTTGGCATCGGTCCGGTTTCGGCCGGTTCGGCTTGGGCCTGCCGCCGGTTCGGTTCGGTTCCGGTTTTCGCGCGGTTGGGTCCGACCGGTTCGGTTCGGTTCGAGTGGCCGCTCCAGTTCGGTTCGGCCCGACTGGTCAAGTGCGACGTTGGGCGCCCCGTCTGCGTAAGCGACGACCCAGTTTGAAAAAAAGGGAGGAGGAGGAGGAGGAGGAGGAGGAGGAGGAGGAGGCGGAGGCGGAGGCGGAGGCGGAGGCGGAGGAGAGAGGAGGAGGACGACGAGGAGGAGAAGGAGGAGGAGGAGCAGGAGGAGAAACGTGGAGGCGTGGAGGCGCGAGGCCCTCCAGCGACGTGCCCCGACGGGGGTCGCAGCCCCGAGGGGGGTCGCAGCCCCGAGGGGGGTCGCAGCCCCGAGGGGGGTCGCGCACCCGCCAGGGGGGTTGCACCCGCCAGGGGGGTTGCACCCGCCAGGGGGGTTGCACCCGCCAGGGGGGTTGCACCCGCCAGGGGGGTTGCACCCGCCAGGGGGGTTGCACCCGCCAGGGGGGTTGCACCCGCCAGGGGGGTTGCACCCGCCAGGGGGGTTGCACCCGCCAGGGGGGTTGCACCCGCCAGGGGGGTTGCACCCGCCACCCGCCAGGGGGGTTGCGCCCGCCAGGGGGGTTGCACCCGCCAGGGGGGTTGCACCCGCCAGGGGGGTTGCGCCCGCCAGGGGGGTTGCACCCGCCAGGGGGGGTGCACCCGCCAGGGGGGTTGCGCCCGCCAGGGGGGTTGCACCCGCCAGGGGGGTTGCGCCCGCCAGGGGGGTTGCGCCCGCCAGGGGGGTTGCACCCGGGGGGTCGCACCCGCCAGGGGGGTCGCACCCGCGAGGGGGGTCGCACCCGAGGGGGGTGCACCTCGCAGGGGGTCGCACCGGGGGTCGCAGCCCGCCAGAGGGGTTCGGTTCGGTTCCCGTCGGTTCGGTTCAGGGGCCGCCCGGTTCCGGTTCGATTCCGGTTCTGGTTCGGTTCGGTCCTCGCCGGTTCGGTTCTGAATGAATTCGGTTCGGTCCGGTTCGGTTTTCTACGTTCCTGGTTTTGGACCGGTTCGGTCCGGTTCGGTCACGGTTCTCGGTTCTCGGTTCGGTGCGGTCCCTTCATGCTTTTTGGGGCTCTTTTTTGGAGGCGTTCTTGGGGTTTTCTTGAGCTGTCTTGGAGACCTCTTGGGCCGTCTTGGGGGCGTCTTCGGCCGTGATTGGACCCTCTGGGGGATATGTTGGGCCGTCTTGGGGCGATCTTGGGAGCCTCTTTGGCCGTCTTCTTGGAGCATCGGGAACTTGCAATAGCGGAAACGCGGGCATTTTTCAAAAACGTATGGGACATCGATTGATTGTAAATTTGCTCCTGGTAAATTAGAATCCTGGCTGTAGAAGAAGCATACATGTAAGCCTTGGGGCACTCCATTCCGTGCCGGAAGCACGTGGCGTTTTTTCTTCAAGGAGCGTAACTATGCGTTGTGTATCTACGTGGTGCAATCGATATCGTGCAATTCATTTGCCGAATTTGAAATTGTCAACTCCACTGCGCGTGCAATCGTTTCACCCACCCACCCGCAAGTTGGTTTGCAAAACCCATGCGGGAACGATTGCGATGAGTGCTGGGTGTTGGCTGGTGCATCACTGCGGCCGCGCCAGCCCGCGCATGCTTGCGCGCGCAGCGGCCAGCTAGTTTCGCGCGGCCGACGCGACAGCGGTGGCGCTGACCGCTCGGCACATCCCAGCGGGAAGTTCAGTGCGAGTCGGCGATTGGGGCGGGCGCGGTGCCATGGCAACCTCGACAACGGTAGACACGATGATGATCGTAATGATGCTGGTGACGATGCTGACAGCGACGACAGGGCAGCCAGTGACGGCGCCGATGCTGATCACGCAAACGACGATGACGGCGTCTTCGCGTCTGTGATGAAGGTTTTGGAAGGAATTCGAAATACGCGCGCGGCAGACGCGCGAGAATGGCTCGCATGACATTATTCAGCGCGGACTGCGCCACCCCAGCACGCGCGCAAGGGCGTCCGAACGATTTCGACATGCGCGCGCGCAACCCGTTTGGTAGCATTTTCAGAACATGCTGAAAAACCGATGGTTTTCTTAGAAAGAGCGTGTTCTACCGCTGCTGGCGGAAAGCCGGGGGGGGGGGCACTGGGGGTTCTTAGCCCGTCCCCCCCCCTTGGAAAAAGGGGGGGTGGTCACTACCGGTTCGAGCCCCCCCCCCCCCCCCCCCCCCCCCCTCGCCGCCGGCAAGTAATTCCCGCTCTTCGGGGCAGTTGGACAGTGGTGGGATTCTGGGACAATGGTGGGAATCTGGTGGTGGGGCTGGTGGGGGACAGTGGTGCGGTGGCCACGTAGGACAGGGTGGGGGACCGGTGGTGGTAGGGACACGGGTGAGGGGACACTGGGACAGTGTGGGAACACTGGGGGACATGGCGGGGACGGTAGTTGGTGAGGACTGTGGTGAAGGCGGGGGGTGCAGGACAGTGGTGGGACACGTAGGTACAGGGGG